AGCCCTCGGGGCTGTGGTGGGGAGGGCCTGCACGCACGCCCTGAGCTTCTACATGGCTCCTTCACCTGGGAGCAGCAGGGACGGCAATCTGAAGGAATGTCTTTAAAAATAGACACATAGAATCATTCAGGGTGGAAAACACCCTTGGGAGCACCAAGTCCAACCATTAATGCTAGGATTCTGGAATCCCGGGTGGGAAGGGACCTCAGGGATTGTCTGGTCCAGCCTTTCTTGGCAAAGCATGGCCTAGACAATTCCCAACATCCTGGCATGTGAATAATACCCAGTGTTGGGGAATCCCTCTCTTCCTCATGGAGATTATTCACCTGCTGTTTGTTTGGAAAAAATTTTCCTCTTGAGCCTTACTGGAATCTCCCCAAGAGGACCTTGTACCCATCATTCAGTGTCTTTCCATGTGCCTCCATGCATGACAAGAGTTTCCACCTTTGTAGCCACCCTTTGAACACCAGGATATGGGAAGAAGGTGCCCCTGAGCCTGCTTTTCTCCAGGCTGAGCCCCTTTCCCCGCTCCCTCAGGAATTCTACAGCCCCTTCCCGGCTCTGTTCTGTGCTCTGGACACGCTCCAGCCCCTTAAGGTCTCTGCTGTCAGGTGGGGCCCAGCCCTGGAGGTGCCCCAGCAGTGCCATCTCAGGGGACAGGCGCTGCCCTGGGCCTGTGCCCACGCTGGGGCTGACACAAGCCAGGTGCCAGTGGCCTCTTGCTCACCTGGACACACCTGGGCTCATGTTCAGCCACACACATGCCTAGGTCCTTCTCCAGCTACCCAGTCCCTCTGTCCCGTGCCTGGAGCGTTCCACGGGGTTGGTGTGACCATCTTGCCCGGTCTCTGTCTCTCCCAGGTGTTTGTGGAGACGCTGGACAAGTGCTTTGAGAACGTCTGTGAACTGGACCTCATCTTCCACATGGACAAGGTGGGTGCTGGCCTCGGGGCTGCTCCAGAGCTGCATTTCCTGGGCTGGGCTGGCCAGGAGAGTGTGGGGATCCTGTATGGAAAGCTTTCAGCCGTGTTCTTTGCAAGGCACTCGCATTGTGAGCTCCCCAGGAGAGAGCCGAGGGCTGGGCTGCCCTGGGGCTGGGTGGCACTGTGGATGTGTGCTGCACAGCCAGCTCTGCTGCAGCTGGCAGCCTCTGCCCTGGGCCCGGGGTGTTCTGCCTCTGCTCCAGGCCGTGACACCTCGTGGGAGTTTACATTGTGCTACAGCTGCTGGGAAAGAAAGGGCAGGAACAATGGGAATGTTTGGAATTCAGAGTGCTGGGTAAACTTTGGTTTGAGCGTAGCCTGTAATGCTTCCTCTTGAGCTGGATGGAGATCTGGGCAGGAAGCGTCCTCTTAGATCATGTCCTGGGTCACAAGGCTGAAGATGGCTGGGATAGGTAGCCAGGAATAGGCTTGGGGCAGGGAGAGGCTTGGCTGAGGGTGCACGCTTGTGTTGCTGTTGATCAAGATTTTCTTGCTTTGCTGGAGACAAAAACATATCAACAAAAAAGAGCACTGGGAAAAAAAAAGTCAAAGGAAGTAAAATGTTCCCTTTCCATTGGTGATTCCAACTGGGGAACTGGCAGAGAGGGGGAGTGAGCAGGTCACGAGCATCTCTATGTTACCAGCTGCTGAGGTCAGGCTTTGGTTTCACTGTTTGCCCTAAGTGTTTATCAGAGCTGGAAGGAGGGCCGAGCAGCTGTGGGAGAAGTGTTGGCAGCTGCCCAGGTAACCTCTGCCCACAGCTGGGGCAGGATATGCCCGTGGGTGCTGACTGTGGGAGCGGCAGCGCCCAGCAGCTTTTCACTCAGCCTTACTGTCAGCTTTACATGAGCTCTGCATGTCAAACATTGAGCCCCACGGTCAGCCTGCAGCCCTTGGGCAGGGCACATCGCACCCTGGCCAGCAGCAGTGGGCTCACCCTTCCTCTGACCCTTCCTGACAGAGGAACATTCTCAGGAGATGGGAATCGGGGGTTTCTGCTAGACCCCAGCTTGGTCACCCAGGCTCTCCCAGCCCTTCCCATCCCATGCTCCTGCTGCTTCCCAGCTTTGGCTCAACTCTTGGCCATTATCAGTTGGTCTCTTTCTATATTTGGCACATGTTTATTTCTCAGATGTGCTCATGTTCCTGTGCTTCCCGGAGCTGGGTGCAGAGGGACAGCGTTTGGGGTGCTGGGAATGTGCTGCTGTGTCCTGCTGGGCCCGGGCTGCCACCCCTGGGATGCCCAGGCAGGCCCACGAGTGTTTCCCCAGCCAGGGCTGTGAATGTCTCCCTGGGCAGGGGTCCAGGTGCAGCTTTGGCTGCATTCTGTAATTGTTTTTTGTCTGAAGTTCCACCCTGCACTACCTGCAGCACAGGGCCATGGCACCAGAGCTGTGGCAGGCCTGGGGTCCTGCTCCTGCCATGGGCTGGTGGAGGGGGGCATTGCCAGTGACACCAGTGCTTGTAGCTGCCGGTGCTGGGAGCCCCAGCCTCAGAGCTGCAGGCATGCCCTGTCCAAGGGGATCTCAGGGTGCGCTGTGCTCAGCTCTCAGCCCTGCTTTCCACCTTGGAGCGGAGTGTGAGCTGCACTCAGCAGCTGCAGAGTCCCAGAGGGAACACAGATTTCTCAGGAAGTGTTGTGCTTTGGCTTGGAAAACAAAACTTGCTCAAGATTTCTGCCCTGCTGGTTTGGAGCCAGCTTGGGCTGAAGCCAGATCTTGAAGGAACATTTCCCGATGCTCCCATATCCTTTTAGGCTGTGGGAGCCACTTGCTCCCGCTGCTTCAGCATGCACTGGGACTGGGCTGTGGGATGGGGGTGCCAGAGCTGCCTGGGCCCACCCTGTGCCCTGCTGATCCCACGCACGTGCTGCTGCTGCAGGCACTGTGGGAGTGGGACAGGGGCTGTGGGGAGCCTGGGCTGGGTCACCGCAGAGCTGGGACTGCCCCTCCGCAGTTGCTGGGATTGCACATTCTCTCCTGTTCTTTATTCTTCCCGGCACTGTCCTGAAGTTCACAAGGTGTCACAAGTGCAGCCTGGCTCTGTGAAACCATAAAACAATCTCATAACCCAACCGTGCTCCTGTGTAGCCTCTTTCACGGAAGTATCTGGGACCCATAAATCCATTATCTGTGCTGGAGGCTCATTGGGAACTGCTGACTGTGCAGGCAGTGCTGAGTGGAGCCAGGAGCGGGAGCTGAAGGGAGTTGTAGCCACCAGTCCAGCCTGGCTGCCACCTCAGGGCTGATTGCAATTTCTGGGATTGCAACTCAGCAATGTTCCTTTCCCTGTTCTGGGTGTGTGATTGCACTGGCCTTGCCTTCCTGTTCATCCTTGAACTCGAGGGATGCCAGGAAAGGAGCAGACTCCCTTGGCAGCTGTGCGCTTTTTCTGTGCCCGTGTCACAGTCTCGACCTTCCTCAGAGACAGGGGAGAGAGGCCAGGCTCTGGCCTGGCTTTCTGAGGAGAAGGAGCTTCTGGGGAGAAGTGTCCTGCCCCGCTGGGTCATCCCTAGGACACATTCCTTCTCTAACCTGGCCCAGGAGGGACCAGCCATGTGTCCAGGCTGTGCCAGTGGAACCAGCTGCATCTGGCTGCTGCGGGGGCCCGGTGGGTGGGTGTCATCTCCAGTGGGGTGCAGGTGGAAAGTGGAGCTTTGGGGCTCCCCTTGGCAATCCTTTTGCTCTCCAGGCAGCTCAGAAGGGGGCAGGGGTAGATTTGTGTCCCTTGGCGAGATGCTGGCCCCTGAGGAGCTCCCAGGAGCGGGCCCTGAGCCTTCTGTTCCCTGTGTCCCTCCCTGGCAGGTGCACCACATCCTGCAGGAGATGGTGATCGGCGGGATGGTGCTGGAGACCAACATGAACGAGATCGTGGCGCAGGTGGAGGCCCAGGGCAAGCTGGAGAAGGCAGAGGTGAGCGGTGACACTGCGGCTGTGCCCCTGGGAGCTGATGGAGCCTGGGCTGTGAGGGGGTGGCCCATGGGGACGGGGGTGGGCGTGGGGGGTACCCAGGGTACTCCCAGGGTCCGCCTGCCTGAGCCCTCGGATGGGGCTGGGGACATCCTGCGCAGTGGTGCTGGTCACGAGTGCAGAGAGCTGCCCGTGGAAGCGGTTCCTTTGTCAAGGATAACCACTGAGGGTTTATCGTGAAGGGGCTGTGGAGGGGTGGCTCTGGGGTGGGACCAGTGGTCACGGTCCCTCTGTCCCCAGGGAGGCCTCTCAGCTGCTCCTTCCCGCGCTGTGTCGGCCGTGAAGAACATCAACCTGCCCGAGATCCCCCGCAACATCAACATCGGGGACATCAACATCAAAGTGCCCAACCTGTCACAGTTCATGTGAGCAGCCCGTGCTGGGGGCTGCCTGCTGAGCAGAGCTGGGGTCCCCGGCTCCTGCCGGGGCTCTGCCCGTGTGGCACACAGGGCCCAATGGTGGCTGAGGGCAGGCAGCAGTGACAGGGCTCAGAGAACGGGGTGGGGGGCTCAGAGAGTGGGGTGGGGGGTCCCTCCCTCTGCACCTGGGCCCAGTTCTGTTCCCTGGTCCCCCAACAAGGAGGCTGCTCTTCCTTCCCCTCCCTCCCTGCGCACACGCAGCCTCTCCTCGCTGTGGGGAAGAGTTGGTTCCTGCCTCTCCTGGGGTTCTTGGGATTCCCAGAGGTGAAAGTGTGCCTGTAGTGGCGGCTCTGTCAGGAGCTGCAGGTTGTCCCCTCCACCCTCCAGCCATGGCTGTCCCTTGCCCTGGTCCTGCTCTCTGTGATGGGCCCCGGCTGGGTGGGGTCACTCATGGGAGCTGCTGTGTGCCCTGGGGACAGTGTGCGGGGGACATGCTGGAGCGGGGATGTGGCAGCAAGAGGGACAGGAGCTGAGTGCCTGGGGGGCTTGCAGGGTCAGGCCAGGCTGGGGCTGCTGGAGTGTGTCCCTGTGTCCCAATAAACTGCCCCTGAAGCCGTGTCTGTGTCTGCTGTGGGTGTGCGGGACCTGTGGGGCTGGGCTGCTCTGAGGCCGGGGAGGAGCAGGGTTTGTCCTGGGGCTCACAGTGACCCCGATGGGCTCTGTCAGCCACGTACCCCATGCCCCTGGCTCCGCCGAGGCTCCATCTGGCCACCAGCCCTGGGGCTGGCCAGGGGCCCTTCCTCGGCTCCCCAGCTGTGCTCCAGGTTCTGCCTCCACTTCCCCTGGCAGGGAAACCGTGACTCTGCCGGGAAGGAATTTCCCCTCCCTGCAGCTTAACCCTTCCCCAGCTGGCCACTAGCCACATAAGCACTCCTGGAGGTCAAGGAGCTGGGCAACCTGCTGTGTCCTCTTCCCTGCTGGCTCTCCTCTTCCTCTGCTTCCTCCTATTCCTCCTCCTCCTCGTCCTCTCGTAGGTGCCGGCGAAGGGTGCAGGTGAGCCATCGTGCCGGGGCCATGTGCTGGGGCTGGGGCGCGGAGTCTGGCAGGACTGGGACAGTCGGAGGGAA